ATTGATTATTGATTAATAACCTAGTGACGTTTCAGCATGAACGCTCAAATGGGAATGCACCCCTCTACGTTACGGTATACACGAAAAAAACGAATGGGTCATGTTATCCAAAAAGTGACATACTTTCTTGCCTACAACTCGAGCAGAGAGCGGACGTAACACTTTCACCCCCTAGCTTATATATCGGGTCAAACTGTGTCGTGCAGAGAGGAAGTGGATTGATATTTGGACAAAGTCACTCTTATTTCTCTGAGTATTAATATCTAGCAAGTATCATTATCTTGCAAGTATCATTATCTTGCAAGTATTAATATCTTGCAAGTATTAATATCTTACAAGTATTAATATATTATAAGTACTATTATCTTGCACGCAGGTCATCGGGTTCACAGGGTACCCGGTGCCTAAGGGCGGAGTTGATTGCATCAATCGAAGTTTTTTTAAGAAGAACAAGTCGCTCGTTAACTCCCAGTACAGCAACAGCCGACAGGTGCGATAAATATAAACTAACCAATCCTTTTAGTTAATATTTGGATTTATTATTCATTTTTTTGTTATTATTAGTTATTATCATTTTTTTTCTCCACTAAGTAATATCACTGTTCAGCTTTAGTCAATTTAGATAAACTAACGATATCCCGTAACTTTCTCTTACTGGATTTGCACTGAACTTGTATCAATAATCAATTTCTCTTTAAGGTTTTCCTCTTATTTTAAATGCTTTTAACTTACATGCCACTTGACTGTGGCTAAACTAGGTCTCGCTCAGTGATGCAACTGCCACGAAGAAAAAAATAGGAAAATGGAACATTTTGTTCTCAATTTCGCAAGAATTTTCAACCAAAAACAGCGTGACTCATCGCCTCTCAATTTTGTTATCGTATTCACTACGGGCCAAAAACTCCTGAGCTTATTTTATTGCCTTAATTTTTATGTTTCAATGGCAACGCAGGCAAGCGCCTCCTTGATCCGCCACGACGTTCTCAGGAAAAATATACGGTTTATATAGTTAGTATATATAGTTTACTTCTAGATACTTCAATTGTATATATTGTATACCTACGAATACTTTACATCGGCCATTGACGGACTGGGTTTTAAGAGGATCATTGGTGGACTGGGTTTTAATTAGATCATTAGTAGACTGGGTTGTAATATGATCATTACTAGGTTTTAAGAGGAACCTTGGTAGACTGGGCTTAATTAGATCATTACTAGGTTTTAAGAGGAACCTTGGTAGACTGGGTTTTTATTAGATCATTACTATGTTTTACTCATGGTTTTGAACCACATTCCCCCGGGCCAGGTAAGCGAGCGCGTGCAGCTGGAGCAGGGCAGCTTCGTGCTGCTGCCCACCACCTTCGAGGCGGGCGAGGAGGCCGCCTTCACATTACGCGTCTACTCTTCTAAACCTATTAAACTCAAGTCAGATATTATGCTTAAATATCCTCTTAATATATGTAATTAACTGATTAACTGTTCATATATCAACATTTGTCTAAACCCATTAAAGTTAAGTCATATATTCTGCTTAAATATTCTCTTAATATATATAATTAATTGTGCATTTCTCTTTATTTGTCTAAAACCATTAAACTTAAGTCAGATATTATGCTTATATATTATCCTAATATATGTAATTAACAGTTCATATCTCATTATTTGTAAAACGTTTTGAAGGTGTAATCGTCTAAAGCCATTAAAGTTATGTGAGATATTGTAGATAAATACTGTTTTAATCTACTATTAAGACGTAATTTTTTTACAATGAAGCTCAAAGACGATTAAAACGAAGCTAGGATTAGTATAAGACAAATAAACTGCGAATGAAGCTTAAAGACGAAGTCAGTATAGTCGGCAGAAGTTGATCTTTATTGCATTTTTGATTGTGTCCCGCCGAGAATAATTCTCATTCACTATTTTGTCCTGTCTCCTGTCATCGTCAAAATTCATCAGGACATTCAAGTTATTTATTTTTTCTTTAAATTTACTAAATTTACGAATTGTATGCTCAATAGCTGCGATTAAATCTTCCGTCAGTTCAAAAAATTTTGATGTGCAGTTTATTGGACACAACAAGAATTTCGTTTGCAAGTTAATTATGACAAATTTTAAATTATTTTTATTATTATTCGTGCGCAGGTTAGTAGACACGACACCAAGCCTGGTGAAGCCTGCGGTGACACAGTCCCGCAGTGCGCTGGAGAGCAAAAGTATCCTACAGTACCAGGCAGTGTTCCTGCAGGTCGCTGATGAACACAGAACAGTGAACGCCTTCCAGCTCCATGAACTGCTGGAGGCCTGCTTACCTAATGGTGAGTCTTGTAATGGTAAGGGGGGTACTTGTAATGGTGAGTGTTGTAATGGTGGGGCGGACACTTGTAATGGAGAGGCGGACACTTGTGATGNCTAATAGCGAGTCTGCCAGTGTTCTGATGGTGAGTTGGGCGATGTTCGATGTATATATACTGAGTTGTCGGAATATATTACAGTCATCAGATAATTTTCTGCTCATGAGCAAGATTTTTCCATTATTCTCGAATACTTTGATAAGTGTTCACTTCGAAATTCAAAAAGATTTTACAGTTTATCGTGCGTTGAACCGAAGTGTTATATTTCTTTTCAGATTAAATCAAGAGCTGCGCTAGTCTGGACATCTGCCGACAGATCATCTTAACTATGGACGTATCCTTTACAACTTTCTTATTATAAAATTAATATTATTTTTACTATTGTTATTGCGTTGAAAATTCATCATTTTTTATAATGTCAGGACTCGTAGAGTCTGGATCTGTGATTGGAAGGAGAATCGCCTATGGGATGAAAAATATAATTTGCAGAAATTTACACAATTTTTTATTCACAATGATATGGGCGAAATGTATTAGTGAATATCGACGAAATATCGCTCGATAATGTGTGGGTTGAATGAGCACAGAAATGCGATACTTCTCCAAATCGTAGACGAATTGATTTGTTGCACTCCAAATATGGGAAAATCGACATCAAATATTAGTACACACCTGAAAAAAATTCAATGTAGTAGTTATTCATTTCAAAATCTCCTGATGGATATTTAATGGATGCTTCTCTTAGTAGATATTGATTGGCAGGATTCATGCCGGATTCATATCATCAAGGTCTACTTCCGCAGGAATACTTTTTCTTCCGTATACCTTTTCAGGCTCAAATTTATGACCGTTTAGAATATGACCTAATAATGCGCTGATGAATGCGAATGATGGTGGTGGTGACGAACGAAAATTATTATAATAATATTAGAAGCGTTTGTTAAAAACACATCAAACATTCTTAAACATATGTTCCTAGAAAACACTTTTATTAGTCAAGTAAAGCCAAAATTAAATAGTAAATTAGGTTCAATATGCTTATCGCCAATTAGCAATGAACTAACAGGTCGTCTGCCATCTCAAAGACTGGCTTGCCTACGTCGCTCACCATCGATATGACTAGCTTTGTTACCCACCAAATAGATGCACTAACTAGAATTTATTATTATGTTTTCTGCGATTGCAGACAGGAATTTAAATAAGTCTTACTGTTGTTCGGGAAATGCCTGCATTAACTAAAAAAGTAGTATATTAGTTGGTGTTTTGCCGGCTGCTCGTATG